CTCTCTCTCTCTCTCTCTCTCTCTCTCTCTCTCTCTCTCTCTCTCTCTCTTTGATTTCGGCCTGATCAACCTCGTGCGATTTGACAGACGCTCCTTGACAGATCGGTTACGCCGACTTGTGACCAAATTCCGCTCGACGTCACGATCGATCCTTTCTTTTTTCGTCCCAAACGGACGTAACGCGCGGCGAATTATTCACGACATCTAGCGGGGGTCTCGTCGCGCGTCAAATTAATCGCCCACGAGAACGCGAATTGACTGCGGACTGGCTTAATGACTTTTTCATGCCGATCCGTGTTTCCCGTCGCGCGACTGGATATTGCTCTCATCGTTATTGTCCGCTTTTCGCGTTGAATCGGATATTATAGAGTAGCTTTGCGGAATTTCGTTATCGCGCGGAAGATGAATGGTGGCAATCTCGAGGAAGAAGGCGAAAGACACCGAAAGCTATTATAACTACGAGAGCTCTCGTATGAGCGCGCCGTGTATGAGCGACGATCCATCTTCGTAAGTTCTATGCGCACTTGCCAACAACACGCAGCGCTCGCGCTTCTTCAAGAACGGTCCTGAATTATCTGTCTTGAGTCTTATTCTGCAGACGCAAGATGCAACGCATTTTTCATGTATAAGGATATTATAGCCAATTATTGAGTCCTTCTTAATTATTATCCTCCTTAATCACTGTCAATCCAGAAGAGCCATCAAGGTGGGTTTTCCAGTGGCGGCTGTTCACGGTTTTAGTTACGATGCTCTCTTTTGAAATCATTGTAGACACACGAGAAGTTCGACTGCAGTGCTGGTCACATGAGAGACCAGCTTTTTTCTACAGTGCCTATAATTTAGAGTGTTATACTCTAAGTTTCCTTGGCCAGTTTTGCTGTGTGTGATGGTGCATTATCATGAAGCAAAATCACTTTGTGTTGCCTTTTTTTATATTCTGGTCGTTTTTCACGCAAAGCTTGATTCAAATCGATCATTTGTTGTCGGTAGCGTTCAGTATTAACGGTTTGGCCAGGTTTTAGCAGCTCATAATAGATCACACCCTTCTGATCCCACCAAACACAGAGCATTGTCTTGCGTCCAAAGCGATTTGGCCTTGCAGTCGATGTCGATGGTTCGCCTGGAGTTACCCATGATCTTTTACGCTTAGAATTCTCAAAATATATCCACTTTTCATCGCCAGTCACAATTCGATGGAGAAATGACTTTCTTTTGTACCTGGCGAGCAGCATTTCACGAGTGGTTTTTCGGTTTTCCTTCTGTCTTTCATTCAGTTCATGTGGAACCCATTTTTCCATCTTCTGGATCTTTCTCATGGCTTTCAAACGTATGGAGACGACTTCTCGTGTCACATTTAATTGATCCGCGAGTTGTTGTTGCGTTTGAGTGTCATCCTCATCCAATAATGCTTGCAATTCGCTGTCTTCAAACTTTTTCGGTGGTCTTCCACGTTCTTCGTTTCTCACGTCAAAATCGCCACTTTTGAATTTTTTAAACCACATCAAAGCACTGTGATTTACCAAGAGCATGCTCACCGTAAGCTTCGATAAGCATTCGATGCGATTCTGCAGCAGTTTTCTTCAAATGGTAACAAAAAATCAATGCTGTCCGCAAATCGTAGTTTCCAGGCACAAAATTCGACATGTTCAACGCTATTACAAACTATGTTGTTGTATGAAACTTGTATTGTTGTGAGTTGAAAATGTCAACAAGGAAATGGCGCCAATGACGCGGTTTGACGGTAACTACATTAACAGCTAGAACCATCTATGGGTAAATTCCGGTTTTATATTTACAGACCTGGTAAATGTCAAAGTGTACGAGGATTTATAATTCATTATTTGTCAATTATTATTTATTTGTTTCTGAATTCCCATGCATCTTGCAATATGTGATCCACGCAAGGGTGCCGGTTGGACGGAGTGTATGAAGTTGGCACCCCACTTTTTGAAATTTATAATTTTTAAAGTTGTTCCAGATTGTTCTGACTTTGTACCACATTGTTCCAAAGTGATATTGCTTCATTCGAAACGGTTTTCGAATAAAACAAAAAAAATGACTTTTTGAGCTGGCATCCCACTTTTCGAAAATCGAACATTCTGCTACCGCAATAGATTGTTCTAGTTGTTCCAAACATTGTTCTAAAAGGACAAATCCGTAAGTTGAATTATATGCCCAAAAAATGAAAAAAATGTTTTTGACCTGGCACCCCATTTTTTGAAAACAAAGCCCGATACCGATATAGATTGTTCTAGTTGTTCCAAACATTGTTCCAAAAGCACAAATCAATAAGTTTAATTATAAGCCTGAAAAATTAAAAAAAGTTTTTTGACAAACAGTCTATCGGACCAAGAGTAAACTTATACTATCTTTCTTGTTCCAACCGAGATCTTTTTGTTCTGAGTTGTTCTAGGCTTAAACGACGAAGCCTTATTTTGTCATGACATTTTGTAATTATTTCCGCCAATTTTTCTATAATAAAGATTAATTTTTGTAAGAAATCATCTTTTTCTTGAATTTTTGTCACCTCAGAAATATATTTCAATCATCCTTATTTTCAATCATCCAAATAATTATACTTTTTTTAAATCAGTATATAGAACTTTTTTTTTTAAGAAAATAGTTTCATCTAAAAAAACCTGAAAATATTTTTGTTAATTTTAATATGTTGTTAAGTTATGAATTTTTTTTACGAAATTACATTTTTTGTCGATTTCGGCAAATTTAAATTGTTATTGCAAAAAATTGTTAATAAATGACTAAAGTAACTATTGGAACATAAAATATAATCTTTCTAGAGTATCCCAGAATTTTTTCAGATTTTTTAGATGATCGATTTTTTTTTCGAATTTTCGGAGAACGGATGACGCTACGAGTCTCATACTCTAAAACCATAATTCTTAAGTTGTGCCTAGCACAACTCAGAACAAAAAGATCTCGATTGGAACAAGAAAGGAAGCATGTGTTTACTCTTGACGTCGAGTACTGTCAAATCGATTCTTTTACGAATTTTCGGAGAACGAATAATCTTATGAGTCTCATACTCTAGAACTATAATTCTTAAGCCTAGAACAACTCAGAACAAAAAGATCTCGGTTGGAACAAGAAAGATAGTATAAGTTTACTCTTGATCCGATAGATTGTCAAAAAACTTTTTTTTAATTTTTCGGGCTTATAATTAAACTTATTGATTTGTGCTTTTGAAACAATGTTTGGAACAACTAGAACAATCTATTGCGGTATCAGAATGTTTGATTTTCGAAAAGTGGGGTGGCAGCTCAAAAAATCATTTTTTTTGTTTTATTCGAAAACCGTTTCGAATGAAGCAATACTTTGGAACAATGTGGTACAAAGTCAGAACAATCTGGAACAACTTTCAAAATTATAAATTTCAAAAAGTGGGGTGCCAACTTCATACACTCGGCTGGACGTTTCTCGGGAGCGCGACGGATTCGCAGATCGCGTGGGTAGCTAACTCGAAGACTTTTATCGAATTTCAACTACCCGACCGCAGACACACGTCTCGCTGATTACACTCAATTTCCAACGTTCCGATTCTGTTCTCCCTCCTTTCCTTCCCAGCCTTTCTCTTCTTCGCTATCTACTCGATAAATTACCATACTGTCCCCATGTGGCGGTTAATTAATTATTTTTGCCAATTAACAGTCGACGCGCCGTTGACGATAAAATGCTGCTGCCGAGTTGAGCGAGAAAGGTAGCTAGATAGAGAGAAAGAAAGAGGAGAAGGAGCGAGTGAAACTAGAATTTCAGACGGTGCGCTAACGACTGAGGAAAAAGAGAACGGAAAAAGAAAGAAGAATGACAGCGAGAAAAAAAACGGTGACTGGAGGGTGAGAGAGCCGGAGTACCGGCGCGGTAAGGAGATTTCCGCAATGGTGATTCCGGTAACGCCGGCCAGCCAGAATGTTGCTGCCCCGTCTCGGATTTGGCGCGATGCCGTTATTGGAAAACGACCGTGTATCACCGCCGAAATCATCCTGTCAGACGTCACCGGATAACGGGACGCATGGAGATAGTGAGATGATGCACGGCGAATAAAGGGTGGAATCGGCGCGGTTACGTAAAACGGTGAGTCGGAAATTCGTCGTCGTCGTCGGTCGAAAATTTTCCGCGTCGCGACAGTGACGCGAGGCCGGGCAGAATTCACCCTATCCGTCCGCGGCGTCGCACACTATGCGAACTATGCGAACTCGACGCGTCATCCTTTATACAGTTGCCGCAAGGACGAGGGACGGTCGCTATAAAATTATCCTCGCGCGTGTGGAAACGCCCGATCGGGGAGGGCGGAGAATAAATCGCCCCTTTCGTGCTCGGAAATAATTAGACCGGGCTGGGAGATTGTCTTGTTGTTCGTCGTGATAACATGCGATAAGTACAATAAGGAAAAAATGACGGAGCGAATTAAACGGAAGAAGAGGTAAATAAAACGTACAGGACAGAGAATGAAGTGCGGACCGGTTGATGGGCTACGAGATGGACGACGAGTGACGTTGATAAAGCGCGTGGCGGTACATTTGGAACTTTAACATGATTATTATAACCCATTATATAATTACATCGAATAAATCCGCGGTAAAACGAAAATCACTCTCCACAATGGTCGGCCTGATATGCTCGAATAAACTCGAAACGAGCAGATGCGCCTGAATGAGGCACAACGGCCGAGCGATTTTCATTCGCGTCAGTCCACATTCGCGTTCTTGATTACCCGGCGATAATTGACTATAGTTTTGCGCAGGAATAATCCAACCTACACAATAGAGATTTTTGACTTTCTCTCACTAATTGGTAGTCCATTAGTATTTCTATGCAAAACCTTGGGAGTGCCTAAGTTTAATGAAAAAATTGTTTTTACTTCCTTATCATTTTTACATCATTTTTTACTAGTTACTAGCGACTTTTGTATCCATTTTTAAGCTTGTCAATGAATATCCGTAAAGAGAAGCAAATTGACTATGCTTGATTTCTTGAACGATTGCGAAGGATCTTAGGCCCGTATTAATAGTTATTACTTAAAACTCGTCTGAAATGAGATATTCGGGTTTCAATCCAGAGTTAGATGAGAGTTTTCCGGTCGAATCGCAGTTAGAGATATAAATATCACACATATTACAATTCAACTAGAAAACTGACTCTGAATCAAAGTCTGAGTATCTTACATGAGACAAGTTTTAGATGACAAGTATTAATGCGGACCTCAGTGCTATCTGTACTTTTTAAATCGTTTATCAAATTTTCATATGCATTTCTATCGAAACATACTTCATGTGGGTCATGTGAGTCGGATCATTCTTGCGTAACTACAACCGATATGCCTCACAATGAGTCAACGGACAATGCTCGATCGCGATCGTTTCGTCACTGGACGACCGTCACTGAAACTCTTCGAAATCCACGAAGCCCGGTCGCGTGACACGTGCGTCGTGCTGCCTCAACAGGGCGATCCTCGCGTCTCTTTCCGGGTCCTTGGGCGGGCTGGGTAATATACTCCTTCGCTTGGACGTCATTTTGCGCTTCCGATCGATCGGCTTGCAGCCCGGCATGACGGAGAGCCGTCTCTTGGCGGGCACGACGTCCATGCGCCGCCACAGAAAGTCTACCTCCCCCTTCATCTCCTGCGGCATCAACTCGAGGATAAGCTGCTGCCTGGAGGCGGCGCCGTCGAAGTCGCCGATCCGCTCCATGTCCAATTCGTCCACCAGCTTGATGGCCCTCTCGTAGAAGTCTATCTGTGGGTAACATTGTGAAATCAGCGAGCCGAATTAACTGCGTCCTCCGCGTCGATAAGGGAGGAACCCTTTGCGGTACCTACGTCAGCGATTTGATCGCGCAGCTCATCGTGACAGTGAGGACTGCTTCTCTCGCGAAAGAGGATCACATTCGTCTGTCTTTATGAAAAGAGAGCGATTTCCCGGGGCTCTTTTCGCTCTTTTCGCTGCGCGCGCGCGGAGGAGAAAGAGGGAGACAGAGGCAGAGAGAGAGAGAGAGAGAGAAATTCGCCAGCAAATAACGAGAATGAGTGTGAACAACGTTTGAGTAAAAACTTATTCGGCGGGAGGAAACTCGGACGGTCGTTAGTGCGTCTGAAGAAGTATCATGAGAGCTCGAAATTGTGCCCAAAGAAAATGACTTCTCATTTTATCGCGTTATATAGCGGACACGACGCATTGAGACGGAAAATTGATGGAATCGACGATACTTCGCTTGAATGAACAAAACTTTTTAGCTCAAGCGTTAATCAAACAACTTATATAATTATTGTAATGAGTCAGTCGATTCCAACGATTGCGATTTCACCAGCAATTACCTTGACACGCACTGTATCAATACTGTATCATAATTTATTCAATTGACACGATATTTGTTGATACGTAGGTTTTTTTTTACTGTCTTGTTACCTGCGACGGTGAGAGAGAGAGAGAGAAATATTTAAAGCCTGTTAATAGTCATTATTTGAAATTTACCTCAAATAAAATATATATATCTAAATTTAGAGATATGGAAAGAATTTTATAACAAAAATTACTATAGAATTTTATAACTGAGAGTCTCTTCATTTCATATGTTCTATTTATATTTTAGGAACTAAAATATACTATTGAAAAATATATTATATTTCTAACGAAATTTACCATGTTCCTTACAAAAATAGATCTTACTGATAGTTTATACACTACTAGAAAAATAGTAAAATTGAAAAGAATTTATGTGAAAATGAAGAACAATAATATTCTCTTCATGTAGATGTGAGTTTTTCAGTGGAATACATAATTCGTCTGAAAAACTCAGTTCTGCCTCTAAGTTTAGATTTCATTAGCATCTCGCGTGAAACAAATTTTAAATAACGACTATTAATAAAAGTCTAAAAACGAGAATCGCTCTTCTCCGATTATTTTATGGATTATTTTATAGATTTTATATACGCGCTGATTTCGAAAGCGCGAACTAATTTCGAGCGCGTGTTAATTGGATATCGCGGAGCGGATTCGACCACAAAAGGCCAGCGAAGTTTGCAAAATCACGGCACTTTATTTATACCAAGTAATCGATATCGAGCTTCTTGGCACACGCGAGCGCTGACATCGCGGCGTCTCTGGCTTCGTTCCTGTTATTTTGATGTATCTCGATTCGCAGGATCAGATGATCGGCGTTCAACATCCATTGCTTACAATTTGCCTCCTGCGCCATGTCGCGCGCCTTCTTCCCGTAGAATCTCGCTAGGTCGAAGCGACAGATATCGACGAGCAACTTGCACAGATCGTGATGCAGCCAGGCGAGCTCAAGCGGCGCGTACGCCATGGCTAATCTTCTGCTTGCATCGCAAATATTGAAATCGTTTCGGGGGATATCGATTACTCAAAATTACCGTCGCGAACTACACATTTAATTGCGATTACAAAGTCTATACACATAAATTGTATGACATTTATAAGTCACACAAAGTATGTATATGTGTGTGTTGTAATAAATATAAGATATATATATATATATATATATATATATATATATATATATATATATCAGTAAACACCAAATAGTAATAACATTATATTAATGTTATAATTTTCTACTCAAGATGTAACACTGTTATATAACACACGTGCTATAAGGTAAACGTCCTAGTGATTGAACATGTACCAATAATTGAATTACTAATAATATACTTGTGTTTGTTAAGATGCTTGTCAAAAAATGAAACAAAATTACAAAGTAACTAAATATTTCTTTTTATTTATTATGTTTTGTATATTTTCTTTTATTTCTCTTTATTTATTTTTCTTTTTATTTATTATGTTTTGTATATTGAAAAGCATTTCAACAAAGAAAAATACAAAACCAATATGTCAATCATTGGGACATGTATATTCAACCACTGGGACGTTTACCTTATTACATTTATTGTACATTGTTGAGTGAAAAATTGAAACATTGATGGTATGTTCCTATTATTATTTAGTGATATATGTATACATACATATATGTATGTATACACATATGTATACATACATACATACATACATACATACATACATACATACATATATATATATATATATATATATATATATATATATATATATATATGCGATTGCATATTAAGCAAAAGAAATTCGCTTATTTCGGAAAAAAGAAAATTGTAGAAATTTGTAGATAGCAAAGCCGAAACATATACTCCTAGTCTAGGACGAGTATATTCGCGAGCGAATTAGTATACCTGCGAAATAATTTCAGCCTCTCCTTTGGATTCGTGCACGGCATCCATGCGAGATCGCAGTCTCGGGGATACGTCGCGACGCGTATCCCGAAGTGATGCTTCAAGTATGTGGCTTTCATTTTCTCGTCGTCTAGGCACATCAAGTCGCGCGTATCAATGTAAACCCACGCCACCATTTCGTACAATGCGTTCAGAAACTTCTCCTTCAGCGGAAACATTTTGCTCGAATACGAGTCGAACTTGTCTTTGATACGATCGACGAATCTGATCAGACGGAAAAGAACGGTCAGGTATTTTGCAAGATATGAAATGCTTTAAGATGTCAGAACACAGTACATTTAATATGATAAAATAGATAAAGACGAAAGAGAGAGAGAGAGAGAGAGAGATAAAATGTCATATATTATTAATTAGAAATTCGTGCAGGTTTGCTCTCATTTCTCCGCTAATAAAGTTCCATTGTTCGTTTATACATAGCTATTTCGAGCTTGAATTCGCAAGTTTACAAAAGAGAGCCAATCTCTCACAGGGACTTGAACGCAGAAGCGAAGCTTATGAATCCCAACTCGACACAGAACTCGAGACTGCCGTTTTCTCATTGCAGTCGTATTGAATTACGACGTCAAAGCAAAGAAAAATCGTGTTTTTCCTTGTACGATATTATATGTCAAAATGAATTGACCTCTTCGCGCATCATTGCGGTCATTGGTAGATTACTCAAATATACCGAAAATTTTCCTCTCACTTCGTGAATTAATAAGTGGCTTAATAAGTGGCAAATCTCACTCAACTGTCACAACTGTACTCATTTTCGCTAGAAACGTAACGAAAATAATGTATAAATGTATTAATAGATGTAATAGATATAATGCGTATAAATGTAGATTGAATTACCACGTCTATATTTGCCGACGTAAAATAACGCAAGAAGCAAAGCTCTCAGTATATTTTACTAAATTACACCGTCGAGGAATAGCGAATGGCATACTAAGCAACTTTGAATTGTTCTCAGCGTCAGAGTTATAAAAATATCAATTAAAAGAAAAGTTTTCTCAATTTAATAATTAACTTGAGCCAATATATTTTGTAATATTTTCTATTTTTTTAAGCTTCGACTAAATCGATCGAATTTGCTCGTATCAATTGTCAGTGAAACGGCCTGTAATTGAATTTGCCAAGTTCAATTATTAATTGAACGATCTTGAATCCCCGTTGCTCATAGCAATCTTCAATTGAACGACTTTTAATTGAATCCGTTGAAATTGAACTGGCTCATATTAATCATCGATTAATTGAAAAAGTAACGGCGTATACACCTCGAGAAAAGAAAAGAGCGAGAATTTCGCGATTTCTCGCTTCTGACATTAGAATTCAACGTGGCTGCAATTAAAGACCAGAAGCCCCGAATTCGGTGCGACCAGGAACCAAAGCGGCCTCCTGATTCAGATCGCGAACATCCAGATATCCCGATCGGTGGAGCGAGAATATCACGGTAGTTGGATATCCGAAATTGCGACGAACGAACACTCGGAATATCGGGCGGCCGGCGCCCGGTGTGTCCATTCTCGAATGCACACACGAGAACTCGCCGAGCAATCCCGACGCCCCGACCAACCCGAAGAAGGCGAGGTAATCTTTGTTGACTCTCGCGGCGTGTAAACGACGCAGCAGGAAATCCGCCGCGACGACGATACTGTTCGCGCGCAATTTCCGCTCCCGCTCGATCGCCAGGGCGCGCCCTCGCGATATCTTCCGGCGCTCGAGGAGCGTAACGTAGAGCGGCCGTCGCATTCGCAGGAGGTCTTGCAGGTAGCCGACATTCCGATGGCACGCGCTCGCGAGTGCGAGCAATTCGGGAGCCGCGATTTCCGGCTGGCCGACAATCTCCTCGAGGAAATCCTTGTCGATCGCCAAGCAGCCCAGATACATCTTCGCTATGACGCGCTGTAACCTCCTCATTCGAGCCTGCTGTTGCACCTCCGGATCGTTCACTTTGAATCTCGTCTCGTCGTCATCCGCGGCGATGTCTACACGGAAAAATCATTTCAGTTTGTGTTTCAGAATGAGAGACCAGACGAGAAATGATACATCTGTTACCGTAACTGAAAACATTTGATCATTCAGTTGCGTTATATCTTTTCGCTACCAATTTTATATTTTCTAAATTTACAATTTTTGTTTATTTTCATTTCATTAAGTACATCAATATAATGCAATTTTAATAAAAAAAAATTAAAAGTTTTATGTTTGACGGCCCGGGACACTGATGTCTCTCTGGGATTTTTAGAAGGGTATATGTATCCCGACAATAAGTAGAGTGATAGCTGATGTGTTCTGAATGCCAAAAAGTTGCTTACTCAATTGAACATGGTTATTATTAATGGTGGGAAAAATATATGTCCCGTTGGTAACGAAAGAATGAAAACTCAATTGAGACAACTGAGAACAATTATTTAGAAAAGACACGAAGGCTTCATGCTTCATATAATCTGAAAAAGTGTCGATTCGCAAAAATTGCGAATACTTCAAGAATGGATAATCCCTAGTGTTCAGTTTTCCTCGACGGGCACGACGAAGCTTTCATATTAGTCTCTCATTGATTTACATTATCATAATTAATTCAATCAAACCTCCCGCGCCAGTAAAATCAGAGATTCTATATGAACCGGGACATTTTCTTGCTCTGCTATCGTTCCGCCCGTAAAATAACGAGGAAATTGAATCTCGCTGCAGAGAGATTAGAGAGCCACGAGGTGATGGTCTTCTCTCCTTGCCTCTCACACGCTTTCCCGTGCCTCGTCGTTGACGAGATTGATAACGGCGATATCACGAGAGTGGCTTCTCTGCACAGTCATGTTTGTTCCGAGAAGATTCGCACCTTGGAACTCGTCTTCCTCCTTCTCGAGTTTGCCAACCAGGTGGTCGCGGTAGTCGTGTAGCTTCCGTATCCACGGATAGAGCAGCAGCAACGCTATAGGCGACGTGTTCCGGCCGATACAATCTTCGATGGTCTCGTTGGCCTGATAGATACCGTGTTCAAAGGTCATGCTGCGCCGTCGTCGCATACCCTCGTAGGCGTGTACCAGGCTGTGACTGAACTCACCGGCCTGGAAAAGCGCTCGCATCCGCATCTGCCTCGCTTGGTAATGACCGGGATCTGAAGCCGAGATACGCATCCGCAGAGATCAAGCGTGCTCACCGTTTTATCGTTAACCAGCGAGAGATAATTAGCGGACGTTGTTAGTCAATCGACATCGTCCAAAGCGTCGATCACCTGGCCGGACGATTAGCTTCGCGCTCAATAACCTTAGCGAGAGTTCGTTTTCGAACTATATTCGAGCTATATACATTCTCCACTCGGATTCCGATTCCAATTTATTCGCGAGAGGGATACTTCTGGAAAACGTAACGCGAAATTGCTTGCGTGCAATTCCGCAAATTAAAGTCGGTGTTAAGGTGATGCTGGATACCGACATAACGCAGTTTCATAATCTTCTTTTTTCTTCTAATTGGATGCATCAAATTGAAAATGCTTTTTCAATTCTTTTTTATGCAAGAAAAATAATCGGTCGGTAAGTAAAAAAATGTTTTGTTGATTTCATGCAACTGTTTAGCATCGTTCATTAATGTTTATACTTTCACTCTGTGAAAGCATTTTCTATTTGATGCATCCAATTTAAAGAAAAGAGAAAACTACGGAAATGCGTTGTCTTTCTTCAGCATCGCCTCAAATACGGCATCATGTAACTCGCCTTAAACGAGTAGTTCCAAATAACCTGGGTGAGTAACATTTCGTAAGAGTTGCCCTGTCAGGACATGAAATATTGCAAAATAGTTTAAAGGAAAGGAAAAGGAAGGGGAAGGAAAACGCGCGGCGCTTATAAGTGTGCAAGAACGAGAAATGGATGTGCAGTTAGCAATAACGCCAGGGGTAATAACTCTAGTATCGCGAAGTGAAGTACGGGAGACAAAGTTTAAGCGACACTCGTAACACCTCCACTTTGCGCTTCACCAAGCCACTCGAAACGATCGTCAGTCGTGCGCACCTATTTCCATACATTTCTCCGACAGTTTCACCGCGGTGTGGTACTTCGCGTCTCTGATCAGCACCGCGCAGTAGCCGATTAACGTTCTCAATTGTTCAGTCCCCGCCAATTTGATCGCCTTCTCGAAGTAATCAATAGCCGAAGAGTTTCTGCCCAGACTGGCCAGTCGATGGCCCCATTCGCGATAAAGGACGGGCTCCCTGAAGATAACAGGTGCCTCTTCCCTCCTCGGCATCGACATGACGAACTGTGGAATCTTTATGGACGGGCTTAAAGGTGTAATTCGCGTTTTCGTTTCGTAGTAACACCGATGTGTCGCTGATTCCAGTAAATATCAATCAACAGTGACATTACATCGACATTGTAAATTTTCAACGTGTTTTCTGTTATCACACTGTATTATATCACACTTATACTAATTGAGAAATTGCAATGTACTGTTAGTTGGTGTGTTTACTGACACATGTTACCACAAATATGTTAATTATTCCAAATAATGGGAAACGTCATCGGGAGAGATGACCCACCTGTCTCTTTTCGTCTCTTTACGATGAATTTACCGACAACGCGCCGCAAGAAAAAAAATCGGCAACACACGCGCACGTTCACATGATCGAATTCCCTTGTGGTGTCTGAGCTTTCCCGCTGTGGCTTACCAGACGCACCAGGTGTCGGAATTTACGTTATTATTACGTGACATCCAGATGACGGGTTTCCACCGTGTGAAAATAGGCAAATACGGACGATGATACACGCCGGGCGACTCTCGCGCAAGTTTCAAAAGGTAGCTTCGCCGTAGAACGCGTATACATATTACATACGCGCTGCTTCAAGACAGCAGACGCGAAGTACCAAAGTCGGCTCGTTGTCGCACGTTAATGAACTTTATAGCGGCGGAATAGGGCGCAGCGTCCGACGTGATTACTTTAATGGCTTCGTTCGAGACGCGAGATAACAATGACAAATTCAACGCGTCGAAATCTTCGGAATGGCAGTCGGAAAGTTCTGCTACGCGAGGCGATATATACAGGGTGTTCAAAAAGTCCCGGACAGGTGAAATATCTCGAAAACTAAGCATTTTAGAAAAAAATGTTTCAGATAAAAGTTGTGGCGTTTAAAAAGATGTATTTACTGATCACATCAGTTTGACCTTGAGTTGCGTAGCGAAAGTCAGGTCAAGGTCACATTAATTTTTTTAAATGGAACACTCCATTTTTCATTGCATATTATTATAGCACATCTCGAGAGCTTTCCAAAACGCTATAATAAAATATTTTTTCGTTAAGAACTTTTCGAGTAATAACA